CCACCCCCCACGCCTTCACTCTCCCCTGCGTTCTGGCTGCATCTGCTCAAACCGCCTCCTTCGAGAACCCTTCCGATCCCCCCAGACTGAGTCAGACCGAGGAAATTCTTTCTCTTTTAGTTCTCTCTGGGTAAGTCCCACCTCCTCATCACACCGAGCAAAGAAGTGCTCAGTACGTGTTGTGGAATTCACTTTACTGTCTTCTCTTGGGTTTACGCCTTCTGTGGTCCGAAATTGTTCGTTTCCTCATCTCTCCTCTTAAATCCGTGAGTCCCCTGAGGCAGGGACTGTGCCTTCTTTGCACCCCTAGTGCCAAGTACTGTATCAATTAAAAAATAAGTGCTCAGTACGCGTTGTGGAATTCCCTTTACTGTCTTCTCTTGGGTTTACGCCTTCTGTGGAGAGTGAGTAGAGAAGAGGAAGACAGTGGTCCCACGTCACCTCGTTCCGGTCACAGGTTTGCAGAGAGCTCGCTCGGTGGAGTCCTGCTGATACAGAGCGAAGGGTTTGGGTTCGCTCACGAGCTCGGCGCTCTCCTTGTGGAGGTCGTTACAGACTAAGGAGAGCCCTGTACTTATCCTGAGTCAGATAGTGGTTTGTTTAGAAGGACCCTGCCTACGCTCCCATCTTCTCATTCACAGGAGGCTGTCTCGATTGCTAGCAGGAGAACTTAAATGTCTCTCATCACCCTGAGGACCTTTCTTTCCAACCACCGACCTAAAAATGACATTCTTGCTGCCCCCGACTCTACTGCCACCACTCGTTTTCACGTGTGCTTCTCACCCCTGAGCCCCACACTCAGGGGGGACTTCGTGGGGACTTCCTTTTCCCTCCCAGCCCCTGGGACTCTCCCGTTGTCTTTCCTGTCGCTGCTCCTCTTCTGGCTTGTTTTCTCTTCCTCATAAATGTGTTGCTCCCCTAGAGTGGCAAATTGCATTTCCCCAAGATGGCCACATGGTGACCCCTCCCTCCCCATTTCACATTCTCTCCTTACGTGGTGACAGACGCTCTCCCATGGAGAGCTGAGACCTCGAATCTGGGGCTGCCGACTGCCTGATAAATAGCCCACACCCAAACTGGTGTTAGGTGACTTCTGAGCTGAGTCCACCTCTTGCCCTCGTCGCTCTCTAAGCCTCTGCTCGGAGCCCAAATACCATGTTCGGTGGAATTCAGGACACACGTGGAGGCCACAAGCAGACATTCCAGCTGAGGTCTCAGCCGATAGCCAGCACCAGCCATCAGCACGGAA